AAACAAGCTGCTTGAAGCGATCCCTGTCCAGAATACCCAGCACCCGTCCAGAATACCCAGCACCTGTGCGGCCCCAGGCGCAGTAAACAACCGACGACACAACAGGCAGTTCCTGCAGAAATCTTCTCCTTGGTAACTCCGGGCTACCAGAAATACTTCGCGATCAGTCTCCGCATCCGCTTCGCCCCCCGGTGTCCTCCGACCCACCCGTCATTTGGTCTCTTCTGCATTCCAACGGAACATGCACACCTCCAGTTCGATTCCTCACCCAGGCAGTTCGGTCCCCGCGCCCTCGCATCTTGACCGGTCCGCGCCACCACCTCGCCAACTTCCCTTTCGTCGAGTTAGCCAAGTACAGCAAGTTCTCGTGATCAGCCTTTTTCGGAAAAGGAGCAGCACACAAGTAGTCTTGTCACCTTTCCGTGAATAACCGTCTAGCACACAGCTCCCTTCTCGTGTGTCCCACCTCTGTTGACATTCGTCCAATTCCCTGCTGCCGAATTTGACCGGAACACTTCCCTACTTTTGTCTCTTTTCTGGGATTGCACCAATCGACCTATCGCTCGCGTCGGTCGTGAGCTCAAACCCACCCGCGACCTTCAGCGCAGTCAACACTCAGCCACGATCCCCTTCAGGCCTTCAAACTCCGGTTCACGTTCCTGGTTCCACACGAACTCCACATCCTTCGCATGCCTGCCATACCAACAATCTTGCCCACAAACACGGGTATATGTCTCTTCAAATACCCGATTCATAACCTGCTGCAAGATCATGGGCGAATTCATTGCACCACACGGCATCCCGTTGTGCTCGAGTACGCCCCTATGAGGCACAAACGCCGTGTATTGTTCAGAAGTCATCATTACAATCCAGGCACACGCAGTACTTGTGACCAGCACCGGCCACACTTGGCCGCTTCCCCAGCACCGGGATCGGATAGGCATTCAGAGTCTTCCCCTTGTTCAGCATCCTATAGTCAATACAAATTCTACACTTCATTCTTTTAATCTGCAAGACTGGCTAGTAGAGACAGTCGTTCTTCAGCGCTTATAGTAATTTAGTGTATTTTACGTAAGATTTTTATGTTGTCCCTCGTTGGAACGTCGTTGGCACTACTTGGTTTTGTGCAGAGTGATCTGCCTGCCGCCGGCGATGACCTCTGTATCCATTTGAATAATGATACCGGGAATTGCGTGTCAACGAAAGGCGGATCTACCAACGAAACATGTTTGGATAATTGTAACGAGAAGCACTGCGTGCG